TAATTGTTATTATTATGTAAGGTGGTACCATTATACGTAACTTTTAAAATTATATGAGAAAAAAAACTTTTTCATAGTTCAAAATATTTATTCAATTAAATTAAAAAAAAAAAACTTTAAAAAAGATAAATTAAAATTTTTTAAAAATTTTCTTTTGATAATGAATTATATATTTTTTTTTTAATGAAAAAACGATCTTTTTCTTTTATTTCTTAAATAATTATAATTACAACAATCAAATATTAAAAAATATATTAATATGGCGCCTGTATTACTATTATCACCAAAACTTTATAAAATTTCTTCCTCTCGTGAAAATCCTTCTTCAGCTTCAATAGAACAAAAAAAGCCTTCTCAACAACAAAAACAACAACAATGATGATGATGATGATGGTAATGGTGATGGTCGCAATAATAATAGTTATATTTCTAATATAAATACTGTTAGTAAGAACATACCAATAAATATAAATCATGCCAAAGTAGAAGATGATGATGATGACGAAACAGATGAATTTGATCCTCTTGGAACAAATCGTACTAGACATTTGAGTAATTCATTAAAATCTTTAGAAAAAAATATTTGGAAAGAAGACGATTATTTCAATTTATAATAATAATAATATTTTTCGGACACTTATTGTTTTTTTAAAATCCTGCTTATTTAATTCGTTGCAAAGAATTCTTTTTAAAAAAATTATTTATTTACATAACATTAATAAATAAGATTTTTTTTTATTTTCTTGTTTGAATTTTTAATTTAATACACAATAATAATATAAAAAATAAATAAATAAAAATACATTTAAAAAACAACAAATATTTTTCTATATTATTATTTTGTTTTTTTTTTTTTTTTTTCTGATACGTGTAATATATTAAAAGTATTATATCTTGAGAGAACTTTTTGTAAATAAAATATTAGAAAATTCAATTTCATTTCTATATAATAAATAAATTAATAATAATAAATTTAAAAAATTATATTATTTTTTTATATGACTCTTACTGAAGAGACAATTTTGGTCATTAATCGATAACCAATGATTCAACTGTAGAGTCAAAAGGATGTCTAACCAATAAATCATATAAATCATTAGGTATTTTCTGTACAAATTCGACAGTCAAATTTATTATTGATTTTGCATCCAGTTTTGGCATTGTTCTTAATAATTTCATTGGGCTAAAAAAAAAGTGTTAATAAAAACTTATTATAGTCATACAAAACAATTTTTCTCAGTTTTTTGATTATTATTTACCTCGGCGCTTCTAATAACTGATCTCTGATTAATACAAGTTGTGCAATAATACATAATATATTTAAATGAACTCCATAAGCAAATAAAAAATCCCAAAGCTTTAACAATTCATCAAGCGACGGAGTACAAGCACAAAATGTAAGAACAGCTATAAGAAGCATAAAATAAATAATTTTAAACATTAATTATAGTTTATAATTATGATGATATGATGATAATTATTAATATGATGATTGTATACAAACATGGCAAAGCATAAATTATCGCCGTAAGATTCTTTGATTTTAAATAATTGAATAATTTTACATCTAATATTTTTAAACATTTTTCTAACAACTAAAATTAAAAATTTTAGTTAAAACAATAGATAAATATATAGGTGCATATAATATTATAATATATAAAATATTTACTTTAATTCCGCAGTGAACTCCTTGTAAATTAGGTGTTACATATAATGGACAACAAGTTTGAATAAATGTTACAAATGAACAATATGCATCTAACTCTGACATCGTATATAAGAAAGGTGCTGCTAACACATTCATTCCTTGAACATAACTTATTGATTGATTACCAGACACTAAAAAATCTTTAATCAATATAATAAATTAATGATTTTATATTAATAAATAATCTTTTATATATTTACCTTTCATTTTCCAAGCTGTGGCATTCAATAAACGTGTCAGCATTTCTTCATTGACCCTCTCCAAAAACTTTTGATCAGTTGCCATAGTTCTAAAAGTATCACTTCTAATTTTCTCATAAACACAAGATTTTCCTTTCTTGATAAGACGAACATAATCACTAGCTGATACGTGATAAACACCTAGTAAACGTTTCCATACAGTTGATCTAAGCGAATCTGGTCTAATTAGATTTTGTATTGACGGGGACAATTTTGGCAAATTTTCTTCTGGTATTCCTTCATCAAGTATTAAACGTCTTAGCTTAGATAATGTAAATTTAACTTCTCTTTCTGTTCTATGTGATTTATTTAAAATATCTTGAATTGATTTTTTTCCTTGATTTAAATTAATGGCGTTTCTATTATTTTTAACATTATTTGATGCAGATGATGCAGATGATTTTGATGTGAATGTAGATACATGTGATGATGATGTTGAATTTGATGTTGAATTTGATGATGTTGTTGTTGATGATGATGATGATGATGATGCTTTTAACTTTAATGATGATTTTGATGCTGTTGATTTTGATGTAGTTGCTGAGTTTATAGATACTGTGGATGTAGATTTTGTTGGTGCTATACTATTATGTTTTGACCAACCAAAAGAAGTACGTAAAGATGGTGATGATAATTGTAAATATTGTTCTTGTCGTTGTTGTTGCTGCTGTTCTAATTGCTGCTTTGATTTCATTATTATGGGTTTTGGTTCTAATAAGAAATTATAATAATTGTCTATAGTAGTAGAATTATTATTATTGTTCGTAATAACATTATTATTAGTATTATTAGTAACATTATTATTAGTTTTACTACTATTAATGTTGATTGGTTTTATATCTTCATGATTATTATTATTTAATTTAATTATTGCCGCTGAGCGTTTAAACATTCTATTATTGCTGTTGTTGCTGTTGTTGTTGTAGTCGTTGTCGTTGTCGTCGTCGTTGTTGTCGTTGTTGTTGTCGTTGTTGTCGTTGTCGTTATTGTTATTAATTATGGTAGGAGTGGGATTAATAATTGTAGAATTAAAGGTGGGAAGAATTGCAAATTGTGCGAAGGGAGAAGAAGAGCGAGAAGTTATAGTGGAAGGAGGTAAAGAATAGTTAGCAGTGGTTGTGGTTGTGGCGAGAAGTTTATTATTACCAAGATGTTTAGTAGTTGTAGTGATAGTAGATATTAACAATAATTGTTGTTTTTGTTGTTGAGAAGGCTTTTTTTGTTCTATTGAAGCTGAAGAAGGATTTTCACGAGAGGAAGAAATTTTATAAAGTTTTGGTGATAATAGTAATACAGGCGCCATATTAATATATTTTTTAATATTTGATTGTTGTAATTATAATTATTTAAGAAATAAAAGAAAAAGATCGTTTTTTCATTAAAAAAAAAATATATAATTCATTATCAAAAGAAAATTTTTAAAAAATTTTAATTTATCTTTTTTAAAGTTTTTTTTTTTTAATTTAATTGAATAAATATTTTGAACTATGAAAAAGTTTTTTTTCTCATATAATTTTAAAAGTTACGTATAATGGTACCCCCTTACATAATAATAACAATTAATTTAAACTCTGCCTAACCAGGGGTCTGTCTAGGTTTTGATCAAGTGATCAATGTTTTTTATTTGTATTCCTGCATTTTCAAAGAACTGTGAAAACCTTGCTATTGTTTCTAAAAAAAAAAAAATACACCTCTATCATAAAACTAATCATAACTCACTTTAACACCATAAGATATTTTTTCCAAAATAAATCACCACAATGACAAAGCATCATTGTCCAATGTGTAAAGCGACTCCTCGCACACCATATTGTAAAAAACATCAAACTATGTGTCCAACACATGAGTTAATCCATTTAACTGAATTAGAATGTCCGAATTGCAAGAAAAAAAAAGAAATTGATGACATAAAAGAAGCAAATGAAGACCCCACAAAAAAAAAACACTATTGTCCAAAATGTAAAGAAACTCCCTCTTGTTCACCATATTGTAAAAAGCATCAAATTTTTTGTATAATGCATGAGATAACCCATTTAAAAACTGAGGAATGTCAAGGTTGCGAGAGAAAAAAGAAAATTTGTAGATAGAAGGAAGTATTTACTTCTTAATGGTATTTATATGTTATATTTATATATTTTGTATTTATTTTATTATATTAATTTTTATATTAATTATATTATATCACATTTAATTCAAATAAAGAAATTTAAAATCATTAAATGGTATTCTTTCAGATGTCAGTAATTAATAATGGCATAAAAAATTTTAGGCAACTCCCATAAAATCATGCATATGCGGTGTATCTTTAAACATTTTATCTATTTACCTGAAAAGTTACATTCGCTAAACTTTATATATTACATATAATCCTGAATTAGATTAAGATTTTTAAGAAATTTTAAAATTCTGCCAGCCTCCCAATACCTTATAAAAACCAAATTATATATTTTGCTTTTAAATTCATCCATGTTATCCATTATGCCTACAAATTCTGGATCAAAATTTTTCATTTGTTCTCGGAAAAACTTCTGAAGTTCCTCATGTTCTTTAATTTCTTCTTCTGTAGTACTTGCAAATGGATTGCCTGTAATACATACTGGATACTCACAGAAGAATTCAATGGTTAGGTGCCTGAACATTCCCAGTCAATAATACCTGTAATCTTGGTGCCTTCCATCACAATATTTGTTGGATGAAGATCACCATGAGTTGGTACAAATCGTTCTTTGTCATCTTTAGAAAAAAAATTAGGAACTAGTTCAGCCAATATTTCGTATACTGGAGTCCATTTTTCTTGTTTTTCTTGTGTATGAGCGGTTTTTATGTATTTTATTTCTTTTTTAATTGCTGCTATGTGAGTTGGTACAAATCGTTCTTTGTCATCTTTAGAAAAAAAATTAGGAACTAGTTCAGCCAATATTTCGTATACTGGAGTCCATTTTTCTTGTTTTTCTTGTGTATGAGCGGTTTTTATGTATTTTATTTCTTTTTTAATTGCTGCTATGACATAATCATGGGTGTTATCAAATGGACCACGATTAAAGTTTTAATTCTTTCCATCACTCACTAAAAAAAGTTGTTTCAATTGCCTCACCTACTGTAAACTCTTGAGTATCTGGGTCGATAAATATGCCACCAATTTTAGGAAATTTATGTTTTTTAAGTTCGCACATTATTTCAACTATTTGTGTGATAACTTTACATTTATCTTCTTGTTAAATTCGTCCCACACATCAGACAATGTATCACCAGGTATATATTCCATTATTATGTATTCTTGCCCAACAGGGTTTTCCTTTTTTACTCTCATAATGATACACTTTAGGCATTTTGATTTTTTAAATGTTCTCTCGAACATATTTCATCACTGCTACTTCACATTCCAGCTTCAAATGCGGCATTCCGGAAAAGCTACACGCCCGACATATTCCTTGCCATCATTCATTTTCAGCACAAAAACTTTATGGTAGCCTCCTTCGCCAAGTTTCTTTGCCAAGATACAAGACTTACCAAATATTCTTTCCGCAGATTCTTTTAAAGCTTCCAAGCTAAATTCCAGTTCTATGGAATCATCTGAATCTACGTCACTATCACTGTTCTCATCATTTTCCGTTGTGTCCTTCCTTTGTCGCTGAATATTGATCAAGTCTTTATGAGAAGTCATTGTTTTTTGGGAGTTTGTTTACAATTGAATAAATAAAAAATTCGGTTATACAAAAATAATAATTGTTATTGTAAGAAAAAGTTTGTACCCTGTAATGTTTTCCATATATGTATATTAAATACATAATTTTTATAGGCCTCCTCCCCCAGAAACCTCAGCTAATGAATTCAAAACATTTCGTAATATTTTTAAATATTGTTTATTATTATTATTATTATAGAAAATAAGGGGGAAAACAAAATTTAAAAAATTTATTATTGTCAAAACCAGAAAAAGTGTGAACATGATGATGTCACAAAAAAACTTCAGGGGTTCAAAAAAGATACTAGTACATTAACGAAGTGGAACGTATAATAATAATAAATGACAAATTGTCTCTATGATGCAGGGTTGACAATAGACCAGATCCATTGAAGCTGATGTATTTTGGTCTAGTCTATCTGGGCAATAAAATAGTGATTCAAATAGATCCAATGGTGTCAACCCTGCCATGATGAGTTGATACACTCAACAGCATCGCGTACTTTGACGCTAATGATCATACCATTGATGATTTCTACGGGTCATGCAAACCTAGTATGTTGGAAACTGTACAATATCTTCTATGTTGCACTACCTCTTCGAGCATGCTCTTTTATGCAGAAATCCATTTTTGTATCAGCTGATTTTGGATGTTCAAGATGATGAAAATATGAAGAGCAAGACGTGTGTGATGTGCGCTTTGGAACAGTTTGATAATAATTATGGTTGTGGTGATGGCGATGATGATAAATTTCTGAAATACAAAAAAAATACAAATATTTCAAAAAAAATATATTCCAAAATGTCAACAACCCACCTCAAAATCAAACTTATCGCCGACGTCGAGAATCTCAGAAACCACCATCACAACACCATCTCAATGATCTATCCCCAAATACCACCCATTCAATATTGTCAACTCGATAATCAATCTTAATTCAATTAAGTTAGCATTGTTTTTATTATTATTTTACTAACACTGATAATATTTATTTTAATTAACTAAATGCAACATATTACTAAATTAGGACAAATATATGACATTTTCCTGATTACAAAGTAGATGGTTGGTTATCCTGTCAAACGGCACCAATACCTTTAATTTCTTCATTTGTCTTAAGTTCAGAAGATAGTATGATTTTATTTTTTAGTTTTACTATTACTATATACACTGTACATGGTGCACACTGCAACAAAACTGGACAAGGTGAACATTGGTATTACCAATGATTTCAGGGATCAAAAAATTTTAACTGTATTATCGGATATAATGTGATTAACTCATTTATATCGGATCTACCAAGAATTATAATACTATCGGAAGTATTTTGAAAAAAGGAACAAGGTGAAAAAATTGCTCATTATGTTTTCAAAATAAATAATACTAATGATGGTGGCCGAAATTATTTTAGAAAATCCGAAATAGTTTCGCCCACAGACATTGGGAGTTTAGGCTCCTAAACTAGTGGCGAAACTCAAAAATTGCCTAAACTGTGGGCAAAATCAACATAGCGGGTATTCGATTTTACGAAATGATCAGCATTAGTTTCACAACATATAAATCATATACAAATGACCTGTCATCTGACTTCGGGTGAATTCGCTGCCACAGAAATCAATTCGCTGACAATATAAACAGGATATTCTAATACCTTACATTTTATTCAATATATTACCAAAGTAATTTGGAAAAAGGTGGAGTAATTCAGAAGTTAGCTATAGAGACTTTTTTTTCAATCTGTTATTTATATATTTCCGGAATTAGAATTTATTTATTTTTATTATATTTATTTTTTAGCAAAATGTCTACACAACATTCATCTAGTGAAAAAAAAAACAAAAGAAGAGCAGTACACTGTGATATGGAGGGACAAAGTGATGTTATTTGTGATAATGATAAGTATGGTGCTTCTATAATATCTGATAAAGTGACTATTCCAGATATTAACAAACATTTAAATTTGGTTGGAAAAGCGTTATGTAGAAGGCATTATAATAAATTAATTGTTAATGCTAAAAAAATCAAAATAACTAACACTTGTTCACATCCCAAGCATGATATTTATCTTTCTACAGCACGAAAAGAAAAAGGAAATGCATTCAAGAAGACACCTCGACGATTATCTAATTATTTTAAATTATCAGAGACAGCAGTAATGTGTCACCATTGCTTATATAAATCTGATAATGATCCAGAATATTTGGATTCACCTGATTACCAATTACCAGTTCAAAAAACATCAAGTGAAAATATTAGGAAATTTCAAAATAGAACATACGCTTTACGTGATGATATTTTATATTCTGAGATAGAATTTCAACAATTAGAATCTGCATATCATGAAGTGTGTGCAGAACTTGACGAAGCCAAACTAGGTAAGTAACTAATTATCCTTCTAATCTTTACACACCAATATATTAAAAATAATAATATTGTTTATTATTATTGAACAAAATGAAAATATATATCTTAAAAAAAATTTTTTTTAAATAAAATGATGAATTACTTTTATTGTCAATAATTATATTTAACTAGCTTACTTATTTTATTTTAGAAATGACACCTCTTAATAAAAAAATTAAACTAATGGCAGGTATATTGTATATGAGGCAGAGGGTGAATAACGAAAAACCCATTTTAGAACCTGATGAATTTAATAAAATGTTAGAAGAAGCTGAACCAGCATTAAAAGGTTTTTTTAATCAACTTTATGCTGGAACAAATCCAAAAGATAAAAATAACATGACTAATGAAAAAAATAAAAAAAGATTAGTTTTATTTTGTTATTTTCTGGCAGGTCTGAATAATAAATTCATCAATGGAATTAAAGCTGAAATTGGATATATGTTAGATGGTGCAGGTACATCATCCTCAGCTATTGAAACATTTGCAGGAGCAGGTATAAGCATTAGGCGTGAGACAGTAATGAGGCATAAAAAAAAACAAGAAAATACTCACAATGATACTGTTAGCTCCTTTGTATTAGAACATGTAAGGATAATGCTTATGAATTTTAATTTAGTTGTAATTATATTGCAAACATTAATTTAATTTAATGAATTTGATGTAGATGGATGATTTTATGGTGGCAAATTTTGATGATTATCATAACATCCATACTATACGACGTGGTGATACAACAACATCCTCAGATGTTCATCACTTTCAAACTATCCTACTAAAAGCAGTTCCAGAATTACCAGCAGTTCCATTTGATAATTTACATGTTGGTAAAAATGTCCACAATCCAAAAGGAATTGATGCGGAGCTTATTGTGGAAAATGTTCAGGTATTGTTTTTTCCTCATCTTTGGTTAACATATAATGAACGTAAGGTTGTTTTTGCTAAAGAATTACCTGAGGCAAGAAACCATGAAGAACGTATTGAGATGTTGTTGGTGCATAGTTATGATAATAGGATACAACAACGAAAAGAAGACAGAAGTATGGATAACACCAAGCTTGTCAACTTGGTTGAAGGAAGCTTACACTCTACAGGGGATTATATAAAAGCTTTAAAAAATATATTTAATGTTCCAGAGTTGAAAGCTTATCTTGAAAAGTTTATACTTGTAGCACCAATGGATTATCCTGGACAGATTCATGTGCGACGTGCTGTTTCAGCTTCTTTTAATTCAACAAATACCCACCAACTCTCACCTCTCCTGCAACATATTGTCCCAATGATTGGACCTTTACATGTTTCATTGAATAGTCGTGAAACAGTTGTAATGTTGAACTATTCTTTTTTCAACAAATTAAATTGTTTTCTCTATTTAAAGAAGAGACCACTTGCAAAAAAACCAAAGCCATACAAAATAAATGTATTACTTGAACTGGCTGCTTCTGGATGGAACCTAATAAGAAAAGAAGTATTAATTAAATTTTGTAATTGCAAGGATCCTGAGGTAAGGTATTTATTAGACCTTTTAGATAATATTATACCATTAGTTCTAGATTTCTATCCAGTTATATTTCGAAGTGGAAATTGGCCTGTGTACAAAGAAGCAATGTTTCGTGCTTGGGTACTCTTTTACAGGTATGGCCGTAAAAATTATAATAAAGTGCCATTAGCATTTTTTAGTGATGTATTC